TAACAGAGCCAAAGTCTGTTCTTGGTTGAACTGGAGTAAATATGGAATAGCTTGTTGACAATGCGGAGTTACTCCTCTTTTATGTCAGTGTAACCGAGAGCACAATTTTGCCAATTATTAACTTTTGTTACATTATTTGTATTTCTGTGCGTGTCAGGATTTGTTAATCTCATTGTTCAACATCAAGTAACCTTTTGCTGAAAACAGAGCGTCATTGTGCATTAGGTATCATCAGCTAAATTGAACCTCACCCTGCGCATTTGACAGATGGTAATACATTCATTAAATGTTCTGTGGTTGCTTTGAGGTTGGAAAGTGCTATTTTTCTGGCTTCTAACTCAGGATTCTTAAGTAAAGTTGTATAAAAGCATAGTTTTGAGGGGAGAAGGAAAATCACAAAGAGCTCGTGAGGTTTTTTTATTAATATCGTTGTTTACTATTGGGGGGATGACATGGCAGGACTGCGATTGCTGTAAGTTGTCTTTGGCTGCCTAAGTAGCCCAGAGAAAGAGTAGTGAAGGGTGGGAGAGATGGTTCCACCATAGATTTTGTATATACGCAGGTAGAACTTCTTGGAATTTGAAGTTATATTAAATACATCACTGTGGAGGCAATATGATGCTGGCGCCTTTGTGCTTGGTGATTTCACTGTCCAGAAAGTTGGTTTCTATGAGTTCAGACATTGCAGCTGTTGCAGGGGTAACTGATGACAGGGCTCGTCTTGCAGAGCTGGTCACATTTGGGATCTCTAAGTTCATACTGAAAGTCTGCAGGGTGGGGAAGCAATTGGAGGTAGAAATTTCAAAAGCAGCGCAGAGCCACATTCTCAGGCATAGTTCCACTTGGTGTTGTAATATTGAATCCTCCACCCTGACATTACCAAGACAATGCAAGGCTGAGATTAGACACTTCAGGACAAGTTCTCCACAAAGCTAATTTAGGGGTCACCTAAACCAAGTGTAGAAGACTCCACTGACTACAGAGGAAGCTCAGGGTGTTTAATTCAAACCTACTCATTTAATTTACTCACTTCAGGGAAGATTAATCCCACCCATTGACTTGCAATGGAGCCTCAGCTGTTATCAGCAAACCTATTTAGTTATTTAATGATGTTTCCAAGAGGATAAGTTGCCAAGGGAATTAGCTGCTTAGCCACTTCTGAAATTCATTGTGGGTAGTACGTTCACAAATGGGGAATTAGTCACTTTTTAGTTAGTCACATCTTTTTAAATGTCTTCATTCAGTCTAGTGCTGTGACTGGTATTCACAAGACCCCTGCCTTGGTGAGTGCCTGCTGTCCCCTGTGTTCTCAGTGGAGACAATGTATAGAGTCATCCAGATTTTCACAAAATAGCCATAGTATGGGAGGCTTAGAATTAAATCTTTCTTCTGCTGGATTTGCTCAGTAATATGAACCCAGACAGCCCTTTCCTCAGCAGGAGTTCCAAAACCTTCAGAGCTGTAGGATATTCTGAGGAGGTTATTTCTTGGTCTCTGTTCATGTTTTTTCACCTTTCACATAATGCTTAAATATCAACCAGATAAGAGAGAAAATGAGAGTTAGTTTTTCTGACTTTTACCTGTGGTGTCAGCCTTCCGTCATGATTCACTGAATGTTGAGTTATTTATGGAAAGTGAAACAGTTCAACAAGAGAGCCGCACAAATTACCTGATAACTCCACTGGTGGAGTCTCATCTGGCAGATCTGGGCTGACATCATGTTGAAAAGGCATTTGAAACTCAGTCTTCCACTTTCCAGGAAAATGCTTTCCCTATACCACTGGTAAAATCACAACACTTCCCCCAATATTTTTTGTAAGAAAGAAAACACTGACCTGCTTTTGATACCTCTCTCTTCTGGGAGGTCACTGGTGAATTCAAACATATGGTGGGTTCTCCCACCCATACCAGAATTAGACACTTGGCTCTTTCTGAGATTTGGGGCTTAGAAGCCTCTTGCTTCAATATTTTTGAGACTCTTTTACACATCCTCCTACTTTGAGTGGTGATTTCCCTGAGCACCTTCTCAAGAAACCTAAGGCTTCAGATCATATAGATAAATCTGAATGTGTCAGGGCACCTAGAAATTAGGATTTGCAATGTGGATATTTGCATATGGATTTAAAAAAAGGACTTGAAAAACATTGACAGGCTTTAAAAATCTGACACTGTGCACCTAAACTCCATCTGAAATGGCAATTTTAGGATCTTAATTCTCTTAACTTTTCAAAATTCTGTCACTGTTCAGTTGGAAGAAAGGCAGTTCTCCCTTGTTCACTACTCTTCTATTTTCATGGCTGTTCTGAGAGATTTACTAGGATCAGAAGAGTTTTGATTAATTAAATGGGGTCATTGGAGTCACAAGTAGTCGTCCAGTTCTTGACTATCAGGATATGAGATAGTCCTGACCTTCTGGTGATTTCACTGGCAGATCTCAGGATCCTGTGGGTTCCAGCAGAGCCTGTGAATTAGGTCACAGATGCGTTGAACCCTGAACATACGCTTATTTCTGGCCTAAAGCTGTCATATGCAAGTGCCAAGTATGAATTCAGATAGATGTTTTTCCCACTGTCACAAGTAGGCTTCAATCCAGGCATTGTTTTTGAGACAGCCATGACGCACTTTGATATATCAATAAGAGCAAAAAAAGCCCCAACCCTAATAAGTTCCAGAAAAATTACATAAACACATCCCACCTGATGCTCCTGTCTTCATACTCACACCTAACTGTCCCCATGGGCTAGCACGAAGCATCTAATGTAGTACTGATACTGGAAATACTGCACTTGGAGAACCGACGATCCTCCTGGGTGAAGGGGATACTGGGAAATGCTCAGCGTTAAGCCAGTTCTCTGAAATCCGAATGTGCAAAATTGAATTAGATCACAGTAATTCGATTCCATTGTCTCTAAATGAATTCATTGTAAGAGGACATAGTCTGAGGCTGACCAAGAGAAGGAGAATTATCTGTTCAACAGGTGTTATGGGTCAAACCAAAAAGAGATTGCTAAATCTGTTGAGTGTTGCCACACGGGGTTATATTACACGCTATGCAGTTATTACCCTTCAGTAGAAGTTGTGCGGCAGAGCACAGCTGCAGATGATTAAAGACACCACTGCCAGCATCTGACAGCAGAATGTCACTGTCAAAATTCAATTTGAATTGATTAAATAGTGGATGGCAACGCTTTTGTTTTATGGATGGCAGCACTTCAGTCGCTTTAGATGCTCTGCTTTCAGAAATAAAGTTCTTTCCCTCCCTGCTATGTTTATTGGGGTGTTTTCAGTTGGATTGCAGTCATTTCTCCAGTCAATCAATTAAGCCAGGATTTGCCACTGTGTCTAGGAGTCAGCCACAAAAGAGCTGGTATGGTTCCCTGGTGCTTGGCCAAGAGGCTTCAGTGGGAGCAAGACATCAGGCAGCTTAATCTGACTTCCACCACTGGCACAAGGTTTAATGGATGTTAGGGCAGCAGAGAAATCATGTTCTGTGGTGTTCAGCTCCTGCTCTCTCAATGGCCCTGTTCGCGCCGCCTTTCTCTCCGTGCCAAAAACACAGGGGCGGCTGACAGCAGAGCCAGCAGAGCTACCTGTGCCAGCAAGCTGCTCTATGCAGGGCGATGGCTGCAGCCTTTTGAAGCTTGCGTTGTGCTCCATAAATATATTTATCTCCGTAGGCCTTGTAGTGCTACACCGCCTGAGTTTCTTGACACATTGAGTAGTCTCCCTTAAGTTAAATGGCAGTAAGTTACTCAGAGATATAAGATTTCACAGGATTAGGCCTTAAATGCTGACTCCAGGCCAGATCTGCAGCAAGTATAAATCACTGCAGGTAATTTTCACCAGCTGAAATCCTGGCCCTAAGCCCATGAGTCATGTTGTTATTTTTTCACATTGTAAATTCTTGCTGTTTCTTATTTATATTGCTTTAGCACTTTGGGGCACTTGTCAGGGGCCAGGACCCCATCATGCTTGTCACCCTTCGAACAGAGATGCAAAAGACCCTTCTTGCCCCAGAGCGTTTGCAGTTTAAATAACATGTAAACCTGCGTACAGTCATTCAGCTTTCTGTAAGTTCATTATTGCAATCGAGTTTTTCTATTATCCTGCCAGTAAAGCGTAAGAACACAAATTCTGTGCTTGCGTTGATATTTTTAAGCAAAAAAATTGCACTCTGATGTACATTACGTCTAATTGGCATTTTAAGCCTAGAATTTTTTGGAGCCAGCAGTAGTGTAGGACATGGTCTTTCGTAATTGCAATGAGAGGTCCAAAGTCTCCTCTCTGTTGTGACACCCCATTTGAGACATATGAAAAATAGAATTTGCACCTGAGTTGAACCTGAAGTGAAGGGAATCTTAACAGTGGCTGAATATCTCATCTCTGTTGTGTAGCGTTGTATTTAATTATTGTTATATTACTTTCATTTCAGTTGTAGTGTGTCTTCCGGCTCCGTAGAGCTCTGGTTAGCATCTCTGGAATTATTGCTATTGCCTTTAATTACTCTGGAAGGGGGTTAAAAGTAGTAAAACTACAACTTTTCAGAGCTGAAGTAATGCTAGAAAATTGCCCTTCATTGCAGTCCTACCTGGCTGCTTAGAAAAATAATACAGTGGCGTACAGATCTCCAATTTACTGTGTGATGGCCTCAGCAGACCAGAAGAATATCATAGGGTGTGTGCGTTTTATTGGTATATCATACTGACAAGCTGTTCTTTCCTTCCGTGATCTCTTTCACTGGGTTTTTTTGGTGCTAGTCAGGAGAAGACATGGCATGACGGTTTCCTGTGTCCTGTTTTTCCATTGCAGGATGAGCTTTACCTCAGGCAGACCTTGCTGGGCTACTTTGTCATCAGATTGTGTAGGCATTGGAGCACAAATTAACAACAAAGAAATGGTTCTTGGCTTTTTTTCTAGATACTCCCGTAGCCATTGACAATGAGGGTTTCTAAATAATTCTTCCTCTGCCCTAATCACTTATTCATTGCTTTTTGGCAAAGCCCTTGAAAGAGGCTTGGTGAAGGCTCTGAAGAAGCTGGATGACTATCTGAGAACCCCTCTGCCAGAGGAGATTGATGCAGACAGCACTGAAGAGGAGAAAGTGTCTAAACGCAAGTTTCTGGATGGAGATGACCTGACTCTTGCCGACTGCAACCTTCTGCCCAAGCTCCATGTTGTCAAGGTAAAAGACGTCATGCGATGGTCAAAGAAGCCTTATCTGACAGTGAAGTGCCCTGCTCCGACAGCCGAGGGCTAAAGCCAACATGTATTTCAGCACAGATATGAGCAGAGTTTGAAATGCACTTTTGCTCCTCGGTGTTTCCTATAGGTTAACTTAAGTAACTTTGTATTTAGTACATGGGGAAATTGTCCCATCACTAGTTAGTGGCAAAGACAATATTAAGATCTAAGTATCCCACCTCTTTATTTTTACCCTGCTGCAAGTAACAGCAGTGTTTCATATTAATTAGTTCCCATTATTCTTAAGAGAGATGTCAAAACTTTAGTCAGTTCCCACTCATTTGTAACTTAAGAGCCGCAGTCCATCTTTTTGGGGAATATTTGTTCCAGCTGGTATTTCACGCAGAGAAGTTAACAAATCAAAGTCACTGCTGAGGTCCAGGATTTAAGATGTACAATGGTTGCTGGTATAGTGCAAATGGTGTATATCATCTTGACTTCTAAATGTTGCATTTATTTAATTTATCAGATTACATGTTTCTTTAGAATAAAGCAAGTACCTGGCAGACCTTGGCAAGCAAGAAAGCTAGGAATTAAAGCCAAGTCATGCATCTAATTTGGCTCCATAAGCCAAAACATAAACTGAGCCTGGGAGCTGATTGCACACATGCAAAAAGAAACCAAAAAAAAAGTAAAAAAAACCATGCATAAGTCACCAGGTAAGAAATGTGATAATATCCTCACAGGTTTAGCTCTTTCTTTGGCTCATCTTCATTGGTGATGCTGGAGTCAGACAATGCAAAATGAATATGTGGCCACTTACTGGTTCCTTGGGTTGAAATGAAAGATGTCAAAAGAGAATTAAAATCTTTCTCAGACAAGCATAGCCATAGGATATTGCCTGAAAAGCATTTTACAGATGGAAGAAAAGGGTAAATTATTTTTTCATTTGATGGAAGATGTGTGCTGGAAATTGTGAAAATCTTGACTTAAGTTGTCCAGCAGGTTTTATCTTCCCCGTGTGTGTGTGAAGCATCATTGAAGGAAAAATGCTTAATTAAATGCAGTTTAGGACAGGATTTGGACTTACATATACCAAGTGGATCCTGGTAATAAAACCAAATCACAGTCATTTCTGAGAATGTGACTGTCCTAAGAAATCTGAGATGGAAAACAGCTATACTATGTGCTTTAAAAATAAAGGGGAACTCTGTGGCACATATGTATGTAATTTATGCCCAGGAACAATTTTATACTGTCAGAAAAATTAGAGATTGGAAGCACTCATTAAATCAGCTAATCCGTCCCTTCCTATCAGCTAGTTCATTCTGTCACCACAGGATTATTCTATATGGTGTGTTCTTACAGGAGAACTGAAATATCCCAATCCAGCAAGCTACTTACTTAACCAACCAACTGGCTTTAAGCACAGATTAGTCCCATTGACTTCAATGGGACTATACAGGTGCTTAAAATTAAGAATGCACTTAACTATTTTCCTGAATAAGGGCCTGAGTGTTTTTAGAAATCGAAAATTTCCCTTGATAGACAATTTCCTAGTCTAACAAGTCTTGAAATAACCGTTTTCTCCCCCAATTTATCCTAATACTCCTGTTTCTAATGCCCGCTAAATCATCTTGGTTTCTCGATCATGGTACCCATACCACCCTGAATTTTTCCTTCGCGTGAACACGGATACAGCCTTCCCACAGCTGTAGATGGTTACATCCTCTGACATCATTGGCCAGGCAAAATATATTACATAGATTATAAATAGAAATATAGTATATATAAAATATATGTTCAATATAAATATAATAATTAAATGTGTTAAACAAATATAAGAATTATTATTAAATATGTTATGTATTAATTGTTACTAATGACTTACCTTTCAATCTATCTTCCTTTTTGTGATTCAGCTAATCAGCTCGCTCTTATTTGGCATCTCAGCTTTAAGAAGTGATGTACGTAAGACTGGTAAAAACCACCAAACACCAATATGGTAAAATTAATGAACTTCAGGTATCATAAAAGTCATATTTTGGTGATAGTTGCCAAGCCATTGCATTAGAGCGTCCTTAGGCCAAGTAGCCTCCTTGCAAGACAGGGGTCACCCGATGGTCACTTTTCAGGCTTTTATATTATAAGACCCTGATTCTCCAAGTGTTTCTCTCCTTTGCTACTAATTATGTGACAAGAAAGAGTAAGAAGCTCTCTAAAAAGGAATCTGGAGATAATTCACCAGCAGAATGCTTTTTTCCCCTCTTTTGTCTTTGATTTAGATTGTCGCAAAGAAATACCGCAACTTTGAGTTCCCGACAGAGATGACGGGGCTGTGGCGGTACCTCAAGAACGCGTATGCCAGGGATGAATTCACCAACACCTGTGCGGCAGACAAAGAAATTGAGCAAGCCTACGCAGACGTGGCCAAGCGGCTCAGCAAGTCCTAACTGACCGCAGAGGTGGCTCAGTATCCCCTTTCACAGACTCTTCTCCTTGTTGCCTTAAGATATAATTTATCATTGTGCTATCTGGTTGGCATCCCTATGACTGCACCTGTTCAAGTGTATTGGTCAGGGACGAATCTGCTTCTCCCTGGAGAAAAGAGAAGGCAGCTCTGGTGTGGAGGGTGGAGACCCTTTGAAATCTGAACCTAAGATCTAGCTGAACTAGTATTATTCGCAATCAGTATTGGAAATAAATCTACTTTACTAGTTTCTTGTATCATCTTGGGGGTATATCACCACCTGTATTCTTTGGAGTTTTAAAAATAGGATATTAGCTGAAATGTCAAATAAGAGAGTTAGGTTCTTCTGTAGGTTTTTTCAAGGATGCTTTTCCCCCCAGTGATATTGAGATCCTTAAGGCAGGAGCAAAATATGACAGAGAGAGAGAGAGAGGGGAAAAAACAGGAGTTTGACCCTAAAGGAGAAATGCTCTTAGCAGTTTTATTTAAGAAAGCTCTCTGAATGCATATTCTGTCTTAGCAGGCCCAAGAGTTTATAGGGTATTTATTTTTAACTTGGTGCAAGAGGGGGAAGCCTGAGTGAGTATGTCAGACTTGCAGATGCTACTTTGCATAAAATTTGCATGATGTTGTTGGATCTGAATGTTTAAAGCAAAAGAGAGTGAATGAGCAATTGAGCAGGCAGCCCTTGGAAGA